TAGAATAGAATAGAATAGAATAGAATAGAATAGAATAGAATAGAATAAACAGGAGCTGGAAGGTCCCTAGTCCCAAGCAGGGGAACCTATACTATTTCAGTTAAGTGGCTGTCTAGTTTCTCCTTAAAACCCCCGGATCAATTCAAAGCGTGATTGATTCCATTTTTAAAAAAATATACAGAGAAATGAATTATTCAGATGCTTACCAGCAGAGGCTTCGGAAATTTCTAAAATATATGAAGTAACATCTGATCCTCCGGTATCTTTCGGCGGGTCTAATTTAAGAAGAAATGCAGAAACAGTTCAAAACTTGAAAGAAAACCAAAGTTTTAACGTCAACGACAGTTAACTGCAATTACTGCACCGGGCTGAAAAAATACATTGAGGAAGGCTGTCTTCAGCCATGCTTCTATCTATTTTCAAATGAAGAGCTGGGCTCAGAAAGGAAGGCTTTAGTCGAACAGGATTAATTTAGCTCTTCTCTACAGAAAGCAGTGCACTGCCTTTTATTTAACCTCAGATTAATTCTGAAAACATTGGCAATGTGCTACGGAACCAGGAAAAAAAAAATGCAACGTGAATACAGTCCCTCTCTTTCCATTTTATACGGCTAAGGATTGGGCAGGGCAGCAGAGGGGAGGGAACAAAGGAAAACTTCCACAAAGGAATCAAGTTGTCTTACCCCAAGTCACTTTCACATTGTGGGAATGGATTTTTCCCTTTACAGTTGGTTTACCAGGTGGTCCAGGCTTGTCAGGGCAGGTACTATACTCCACAACTTCACTGGGCCCGCTTTTCCCTTCAGTGTTGTGAGCAAACAACTGTCCCATCGCAAAAGAGAACAAACTTAAGTTAAAAACGTGTATGTGGTTTTTCACTGTTTTAAAAAATCAGAGCGAGAATCTCCATGGACGTTTAGGGGAGGAAGTTTTGATTCTTTGTTCCCCATATAAAAAAACATGCCAAAAGTATTTTTTCAAAAGGCAACTGGATTTCCTTTTTCTTTTTTTAATGTTTTTTTTAATATTTACAATAATTCCATCGTTCATTAATAAAGTGTGTCGACTTGGTACGTATATTTTGTGCTAACAATTATAATTAATACTTTTCTTACTAATATAACAATAATCACATTTTCTTTATAAGCCATTATTTCTTATATCTATTACTTTTATAGCAATCTTAACTTATTCCTCTACATCTGGGATGGCGGACCTATGACACGCGTGCCACTTGTGCTGGCATGTGAGCCGCAGGCAAACTTACCTTGCTGCGAATGTGAACACCTCACAGCGGTTTTTTGTTTTCCCCGTTTGGTTTGAGGCCTTTTTCGGCCTCCCAGAGGTTGGAAAAACCTCTGCAAGGCTTCTCAGACTGAATTATAGGCCCGTTTCGTCACTTCCTGTAATACTGGAAGTGACAAAACAGGCCTATAATTCGGCCTGAGAAGCATTGCAGAGGCTTTTTCCAAGCCTCTGGGAGGCTGAAAAAGGTCTCAAACCAGCCGAAAAATCAGCTGTGAGGCACAGTGGGGGATTATGAGCACATGCACAGGGGGCATGGGGTGGGAGGCACGCATTGCATTTTGGGTGCTGGCACGCAAGTGCAGGTGCGCTCGCAATTTTTGGCACAGGAGCCCACAAAGATTAGCCACCACTGCTCCATATATTCATCTACTCAGTTTTAAACTTGTTTTATTTTCCAGGCAGCTGGATTTTCTGTGTTTTTACTTGAAGACGTTTCACTTTTCATCCAGGAAGCATCCTTCAGTTCTTCTTCAGTTTCTTGGATGAGAAGGGTCTTTGTCTTCAAGGAAAAAACAAAGTCCAGTTGCTTTTCGACAAAACACCTTTGAAATGCCTTTCTCCATTAGATATCCATATATTATTGGCCTATGGGGGCCACAAAAAAGCCTGAAATTCCACAGGACTCTAAGAATATATGTACGTGTAGAATAACCTCACTCTCCTCATAACACATGAAAATAATTATGAAGTTGAGCACAGGGTAAACAGGAAGGGCTATCACAGGAGATTTGCAGAATTTGGTGGTGAAAGGGGAAGTTGGGAGACCCAAGAATTCAAAGGAAGAGAATCTCTGCAGCTCAGGGTTGAACTATGGTGTCCTTGGTGCTTTCTGAGACTGGTTGTTCGCTTGTGGGTATTTCATTATTCGACTGTTCCATTATTCGGAATTCCAGTATTTGAAGGGCTGCCACGAAGAAGAGGAGGTCAATTTATTTTCAAAAGCACCAGAAAGCAAAACAAGAAACGATGGATGGAAATTGATCCAGGGGAGAAGCAACTTGGAATTAAGGAGAAGCTTCCGAAGAGTGAGGACAATTAACCAGTGGAACATTTGCCTTCAGAAGTTGTAGATGCTTCATTACTGAAAGTTTTTAAGGAAAGACTGAACAATCACCTATCTGAAATAGTACAGGCTCTCCTGGCAGGAGCAGGGGGTTGGACTAGAAGATCTTCAAGGTCCCTTACAGCTCTAGTCTAGTCGCCGGTGCTCGTGTCCAACCTCGTTGGATAACACAACATCCTCAAGCAAACCGCCAAGGTCAGAGAGCACCAAGGACTCTATAGACTCGAGAATCTTCATGATCTTCCAATCAATGAACAAGACATTTTGCAAGCTAATAAAGGATAGCTGAAGACTGGGGAGCGTAGCGAGGTTCACAGAAGAGCCGTACGTCAACGACATCAGCTTTGCGTAAAGAAAAACTCAAATTCAATCCCCCGTGTCTCCAGTTAGAAATTGTAAAAAAAAAAAAAACCTTAAAAAGTTGCTGCTACTTAGGTTTCTCAGTATTGAACTACAGGGGACCAAGGAAGGATTCAATCAAATAATTTCCAAGGTCTTTAGTGGAAATCTAAACTTCTCCTAGAGCCTAGAGGTCATATATTTCACCAAGTTTGTAGGAACAAGTCACTAGTCAGCAGTTTCCGGGGAAGAATGGGGGGTTTCTTAGCACGTGGATGTGTCCATCAGTTGGATTTGGCACCTACCCTAAATTTATAGGCAGTGTTTCTTCTAAGATCACTTAAAGTGCAAGAAAGCTCATCTCCATTGTACCCTGCTTGGAAGCCATAATCCTGCAGAAAGAAAAAACACATCCAGAGTTCACATATTTCTTAGTAAACTTATAGCCGAGGATTATATAATGTGTACATTCATGACAACTGTAATTTTAAAAAAAAATCATAACAATCCCAGTAATTATTCAGAATGGATGTGTGTTCCCAGTTAAAGAATCTGCATTCACGTCAAAGATGTAGGAAGAGGGAAATCTACCTTATATACACTGCTCAAAAAAATAAAGGGAACACAAAAATATGACATCCTAGATCTGAATGAATGAAATATTCTTATTAAATACTTTGTTCATCACATAGTTCAATGTGCTGACAACAAAATCACACAAAAATTATCAATGGAAATCAATTTAAGCAACCCATGGAGGTCTGGATTTGGAGTTACACTCAAAATTAAAGTGGAAAAAAAACACTACAGGCTGATCCAACTTTGATGTAATGTCTTTAAAACAAGTCAAAATGAGGCTCAGTAGTGTGTGTGGCCTCCACGTCCCTGTATGACCTCTCTACAATGCCTGGTCATGCTCCTGATGAGGTGGCAGATGGTCTCCTGAGGGATCTCCTCCCACACCTGGACTAAAGCATCCCCCAACTCCTGGACAGTCTGCAGTGAAACGTGGCATTGGTGAATGGAGCGAGACATGATGTCCCAGATGCGCTCAATTGGATTCAGGTCTGGGGAACGGGCAGGCCAGTCCATAGCATCAATGCCTTCGTCTTGCAGGAATTGCTGACACACTCCAGCCACATGAGGTCTAGCATTGTCTTGCATTAGGAGAAACCCAGAGCCAACCGCACCAGCATATGGTCTCACAAGGGGTCTGAGGATCTCATCTCAGTACCTAATGGCAGTCAGGCTACCTCTGGCAAGCACATGGAGGGCTGTGCGGCCCCCTAAAGAAATGCCACCCCACACCATTACTGACCCACTGCCAAACTGGTCATTCTGGTGGATGTTTCAGGCAGCAGAACGTTCTCCATGGCATCTCCAGACCCTGTCACGTCTGTCACATGTGCTCAGTGTGAACCTGCTTTCATCTGTGAAGAGCACAGGGTGCCAGTGGCGAATTTGCTAATCTTGGTGTTCTCTGGCAAGTGCCAAACATCCTTCACGGTGTTGGGCTGTCAGCACAACCCCCACCTGTGGACGTCAGGCCCTCATATCACCCTCATGGAGTCTGTTTCTGACCATTTGAGCAGCCACATGCACATTTGTGGCCCACTGGAGGTCATTTTGCAGGACTCTGGCAATGCTCCTCCTTTCCTCCTTGCACACAAGCGGAGGTAGCGGTCCTGATGCTGGGTTGTTACCCTCCTACAGCCTCTTCCACATCTCCTGATGTACTGGCCTGTCTCCTGGTAGTGCCTCCATGCTCCGGACACTACGCTGACAGACACAGCAAACCTTCTTGCCACAGCTCGCATTGATGTGCCATCCTGGATGAGCTGCACTACCTGAATCACTTGTGTGGGTTGTAGACTCCCGTCTCATGCTACCACTAGAGTGAAAGCACCGCCAGCATTCAAAAGTGACCAAACCATCAGCCAGAAAGCATAGTGGTCTGTGGTCACCACCTGCAGAACCACTCCTTTCTTGGAGATCTTGCTAACTGCCTATGCTTTCCACCTGTTGTCTATTCCATTTGCACAACAGCATGTGAAATTGAATGTCAATCAGTGTTGCTACCTAAGTGGACAGTTTGATTTCACAGAAGTGTGACTGGCTTGGAGTTACACTGTGTTGTTTAAGTGTTCCCTTTATTTTTTTTGAGCAGTGTATAGTCACTGGTTTATTAATAAGCACATAATGTAACACAAAACAATGTTACAAAACATTCCAAAAGCTTTGTCATACTAATACAAATTGCTTCATCCTATGATTATTAGAAAATTATTGCCTTTCTCAAAACAAGTGGATTCCGTGTTTCCAAAAACAATTTCTTAAAACTTCTGGAATAACAACAATTTTCCGATATTTTTATGAGGGTTTTTTTTAGCCACCTCCTCCCATGCTTGACAGAGACATTATTCCTAATAAACAGTCAGATATCCTCCAGTCTCATCCAAAGCAGTTCCCCCACCCCCGCTTTTCTCTGAATCCAAAGCATTATGCAACCCTCCTGTTTACTGCGTTTGCCCTTCTTCTAAGGGGAAGCCTTCTGAGTAGCAACCATTTTGAGTTAAATGACTCTCAGAAGGATTCGCTGACTGCCAGATCCTCTCGGGATGGGCAAACTGGCACAGAAAGCAATTATTCACTAGGTAACCTCCGAATCCACCCCAAGAGGGCAGCTGCTCTCTTCCAAGTCTTCTCTCTCCCCACCCCCACCCCTACTCAAGGCTCTGGGTTCAAAAGCTACTCACCGAACCGTCTTCTTCCATTTCTAAAATGTACGTCAGAGAGTCGTCCGACGAAATGCCGCTGGGAGGCGCCCATTTTAGGGACAAACCGTTCACGCCTGCCTTACTTAGCTGGGGTGGGAGGGGCGGTGGTGGAACAACCCCGATGGTGAAGCAGACCAACGTCTCGCCGAACCCACTGGGGAGGACCCAACAATAATAACAGCAATAATAATTGTGCAGTTAGGGAAGAAACCGAGTCACACAAGTCCTCGTGGAAATGGCGAACTTGCCACGTCTCCCGGCCCCCCACTTTTTACCTCATGCCGATGTCGTTTTTGGCTGCTAGTCTGAATGAGTATTTGGTAGAGGGGGACAGCTTGGTGACTTTGTGCTGCTTTAGATGACCGTAGTAGCACTCTTTGAAGGCTCCAGTCTTCCCCTTTTCAAAGAAGAACACAGTGATGGAGTTGGAGGGAACCCTTGGAGGTCTTCTAGCCTCTCTGCCATTTCAGACAGATGGCTGTCCAGTCACTTCTTATTAAAATTAAGTCAGAGAGTGCAGTAAAGTCCAATGGATCTAATACAATTTCTCCTTGACAAGCCAATTTTAATGCCATTATTTTATAATCCAAAATATATTCTTTTTTAAATAGCAATATAAACGGCCATTTTGGTCAAAAAAGCATTCTGGTGCTAATCTTTTAGGGCAAGGTTTTTGTTTTGTTAAAAAAAAAAACACCTGTATTTATTAGAAACCCACAACCAGGAATATAACACGTATATGGAGGCTAAACCAATTTCATGGTGTACATGATGTATAATGACAGTAAAGGCTACAGTCTAATACTCTAATGTCATAGGGACACAAGACTGCCTTGGTTAAGGCTTACACAGCTGGATTATGAATTAAGCTTGACAGGAATCAAATGGACAATGTTACAACTAGCTATTATCCATCGATGCTGCCCGGGCTGCTTTCCAATTCTGAGAAATTTATGATCTTCATACGAGACTTTTAAGGCATCCTCGCTTTTTTAACATCCACCTGAAATCTTAACAAATCCTAGCTTAAGCTCCCAAAATCTTAAAACCAAAGGTGCTGAAAACCTGTTTTGGAAATTCTGTTTCTTGCCTCCCAGGAAAGTGGACTGGCTGGGAGTCAAAGCAGGCAACTTCCTTCTCTCAGCATTTGCATTGAAGGATATTTTATCCAAATGCAGACCAATGTCTCGATCAGAACACCAGAATTATTGTGATTTATAATAATTTATTAAACACAAGAAGCATACCTCATCCCATTCTAAAAGGTAGCTAGTTATTTTGGACCCATTGTCATTGGAGGACTGTGAAAGAAAGAAAAGAAGGTTAGGTTGTTAGGTTATTTAGAGAGGAAATTACTTCATACTACTTCATTCCTATAGAAAACACACCTCCATTCTCTATATGGACTTTCATTCTGCAAGGGGAAAGAAGAGGAGGAGGGAGCAGTCCCTAAATGAACTATCTGCAAGGTGAGGACTACCTGTATAGCCTCATTAAGCAACACCCCCAATAATCTTGATCTGTGTTTTTTTAATGGGTTTTACTATATGGTACTTGGAGTCTCCTATGCGTGAGTTGGTGGCTATGTCAATTTAATAAATAAATGAAATCTGTATCTCCAAGAATGCCTTCAGGCCCTACATCTCTCACCCTCACCTCCAGGCCTGCTTAAAAAGCAAAGACAATGTTGAATTATTGCCCAGTGCCAGCACTACAAAACTGTGTGTAATGGCAGCGGAATGCCATTCAAAGCAAGCTGTAAGGAAGATCATTACAAGGAGGGAGGGGAGAACTGTTATTTCTTGTGAAATCTCAAGTTATGGCCCACCCAGAGACTGGGATCCATGCTTGGCTTTGCTCTTACCTTCCACTGTAAAGTCAGGCTGTTTTTGGTTTTGTTGACTACTTTTGGTGCCGCTGGAGGATCTGGTTCACAACTCTCGGTGGTAAAACTCACCAGCTCTGAAACAGATTCCTTTGTGGAATGACCCAACGCTGAAACTCTGCATGAAGTTAAAACAGACATAGATATAGCTATAAAAAACAAAAGCCTCAGGTCTTATCCCGTTTTTTTCTGGATACTGCTATCATTCCTCGTTGTATGTTCATTTTGAAGGTCAGTTGGAGATGGGGAAACGTTTGGAAAGGGGGGCATATAAGAGCATTCAGTAAACTGAAGGATCAAGTAATCTGCCATTTGTCAGAAATGGCGGAGGGCTGCGGTGGCGAACCTATGGCACGTGTGTTGGGAGTGGAATGCAGAGCCATTACTGCCGGCACACGATCCCTCACCCAGGGCAGGTTTACTGCGCATGCATGCGTGCTGCCCGCCTGGCAGCTGATTCTCGGGTATCTGGCACACATGTGGGAGGGGCGGGTGTGGGAGATGTGCATGCATGCGCAGAGATGCACGGCGCAGGGGGGGGTCACTCACACATGCACAGACACATGCAGTGTGGGGAGGTTGTGCACGCGTGCAAAGAGACGCGGGGAGGTTGTACACACATGCACAGGGGGCGTGGGGGGACCCTCACGCATTGCCTTCTGGGTGCTGGCACGCAAGCGAGCATGCAATTATTGGCACAAGAGCCCCAAAAGGTTAGCCACCACTGGTATAGGGTCTCCTGCTTGGGTGGGGGGGTTGGACTAGATGACCTACAAGGTCATTTCCAACTCTGTTCATTTAATTTAATGCCAAACATACAATGAAACAAAATAAACCAAGGAAGCGAAGCTACCAACATACAGTACAATGACATTGAGCTCTGTGAAAAAGAACAGACCATGGGGCTCTTATGAGATACATCTATTTCAGGAACTTCCATTTGGAATACATCCCTCTTATGGTAGGTTCATTAGAAGAGACCCACATATCCAGATTCCTTTCTCCCCATTCTCAAGACCCAAATACAGTGGAACCTCGGGTCACGGCCGTAATCCGTTCCAGGACTTCGGTCGCAACCCAATTTGGTCACGATCGGAAGCGAGACTGACTGTGCATGCACGCACACACAAAAATTGGCACGGAAGGGGACACTGCCGCGGTTGTGTTTGAACGCCACCTGAGGATGTGTCTGCGACCAGTCTCGGTCGGCACCCGATTTAGTCGTGGTCAGAAGCGTTTGCGACCCAAGGTTCCACTTTACCTGCCTTAAACTGGCAAAACCCTTTATACCTCATTTTATTTGACAACAAAATCCAACTGTCGACTCATCAAATATTTCTATGGTCTTTTTAGAGTTGCCAAAAGAAAGGGAGGAGGGAGCAGTTCAGCTGTTTACAAAACCGAAACTGCATTCCATAAATAGTTATCAAAGATAGTAACTAGGTGACCGAAGTTTCTGCCGTGCAAAATTCTAACTGGAGAACATGATTGATGACTCTTGGCTATGGATGTGTCCCATTAGAGAATGTGAATTACGATACACCCAGGGAATGGAGGGAAAACCAGGGTCAAGGGTGACAATGGATTATATGTCTCAGAGTCGGTTACACCCAGGCAGTGCCGGCATGTTAACTCCCAATAAATCTTCTTTAGGCTTTGGAAGTTCGGCTAGAGACTCATGATTTAAATGGGGGTGACTGCCGGAACCCTGACACCAACATTCTCCAATAAGGGCCATAAGAAGGTTTAAAAACACCCCCCCCCCAAAAGTCCTCTATTGGCACTGGTGTAATTTCCATGTCCCCTGAACCCCTTGATGGAAGCCCCCCCCCCCCCCAAAAAAAAACCCTTCAAATTTCAAACATTGTGATCTTTGTTTTATTGTCTTGCTATTGATAAACGTTTGCATTCCAAGCTCACCTGACATGATAATCAGTTGCTGGTCGGAGTTCAGAGAGAGTAAAAGTTACATCCTCACCACTGTAGGGGTGGGGGAAAGACACCGTTAGATCATAACACCAACAAAATAATGAGCTACAATATCCTCCTCTGCCTTTTGCAGAGGGGAAAATCCTAAAATAAAAACATGCTTACGCTGACAAATCCGCTAGCAAATGCAACTTGCAAAACTAGGTATCGGGAAGGATGGCAGAGAATAAAAAATTAGGTCTGCAAGCTAATCTTAGAATTTACTTCTGGGATTTGGCACTCAAAGGTTCAACAGTGGAAACAAATATAAGCTCAACTTTTCAAATTATTTCTACGGAAACCAAGCTGGGAAACAAGCCTGATTGACACTGGCTGTCAAGTTGCCGGCTAAGAAAGCTACGCCATTCAATTATGAAAGTGGACTCACCTGTAAAGGGATTTAAATTTTCCGTTTTTACCGCTATTCGAGATTGCCACTTCAAAAGTAAAGGCTTCAGGAGCGAGACTCTGCATTTCTTCATTCTGGGCTGCGGCTGGGGCATTCCAAGAAATAACTGCTGAACGCGCCTGTATCTCAGAGACCTTTGAAAAGCAAAAGGGAAGATGGTGGCCATTTACAATACAAGCATGCAGTATGTGGTTGTTTTGCTGCTTTCTCCAAAATGACGACAGCTGCACTGTGCCTTTACATCCCAACTGGATGGGTCTGGCGCATCGTCATCATGAGCCCTGGTGGTGAAGTGCAGTATTGCAGGCTAACTCTGCCCACAAGCTTGGAGTTCGATCCCAATGGGGCTAGAGGCTGACACAGCCTTCCATCCTTCTGAGGTCACAGATTGTTGGAGGGTGGGGGATACAAATAATGCTTCTACATTGTAAGAAGATAGTGCCACCCACGGTGCTGTAATGTGCTAAGGGGTGGTATATAAGGAGACATGGCTGTGTAGTGGTTAGAATGCAGTATTGCAGGTTAATTCAGCTCACTGCTGGAAGATCGATTCTGACCGGCTCAAGGTTGACTCAGCCTTCCACCCTTCCAAGGTTGGTAAAATGAGGACCCAGTTTGTTAGGGAAAATATGCTGACTCTGTAAACCATAAACTATAAAGCACTATGAAGTGGTATATAAGTCTAAGTGCTATTGTTATTGCTATATGAGCCTAAATGCTATTGCTATAGGGCAGGGGTCTCCAACCTTGGGCCCTTGAAGCCTGGCGGACTTCGACTCCCAGAATTCCCCAGCCAGCTGGCTGGGGAATTCTGGGAGTCGAAGTCCGCCAGGCTTCAAGGGCCCAAGGTTGGAGACCCCTGCTATAGGGTATAAGGTATAACAGGGCATGGTTGGATCTAAATGATGCTGCTTTCAACAGGCTGCCTTTGGAGCCATCTTGTGGATGTTCCTGGCGTTCATGTATTCTCCTGTCCTCATCCTTTCCTACTTGAACTTAGAGGCTAAATCAAGTTCTATTTTCCACCCACTTCTTATTTATTTAAACATCTACACACGTGGATGAACTTGTCCTCCTAGTGCAGTTAAAGACATGTTTCACTTGTAATATTTAAGGTATAGAACTGAAAACCAAATCTGATATAACTTTAAATCTTTGTTCTATCTTCGTTTGGTTTGAGAAGGTTAGAAGGCCCACAGGCCTTGATTAGTTATTGCAACTTACCGTAGGCTTACCGAAGCTCAAGAGTTCTTCAGATTTTCTAGACTCTGTGTCAGATTCTAGGAGGAAAAACAAAAAAAACACAACAACACATTAAGCGAAGGGGAAACAGATCAAAAAAAGCCCCAGTCAAATGTTTTTTCAACTGCAGTGCCAACAGATAAAAGTTGTTGGAAGCAGCAAAACACCAAGCTGAGCAAAGTTCACTGGCCTTATTTGTTTTGACCACTGAATCTGCCAAACTTGCAAGTTTGCTCAGAAAGAGGAAAACAGGACGGGTTTCATTTTAACTCGCCCTGTGATGCCATCCAGAATTTGCACGTGTCTTGCATGGCCTTTGGCCAATTTTAAAATTCTAGTATTTAAAATCCGAAGAGCAAGTTCTCCTTCTCGTTCACTTCGGAAATAGAGTTTAGAACATTTTCTTTCGTTAGAAAACTTTCGTAAAGGGTGTGTGTGTGTGTGTGTGTGTGTCCATTTTTGAGATTAGACAACATAAACAAATAATAAGCAAACTTTCCTCAAAGGACAGGCTACATTCCCTGCCCTGGGAACCTTTCGAAGCATCTGTTAATTAAGATTAAAGCTTCAACACTAAGAATGCTAAAATGACTGAAAAGGGGAAAGATTTGCATGTTTCCAGATAATATTATGTTCGTTTTTCTGCTTAAGACTTCCGTGGCTCAAAGTTCAGAATGCAAAGGGCTGAATAAGCCAATGGAAACAAAGGAACCTATGATTACGGGTGTTTCTTTCTGGATGGCATATTTTTTTTCCCCTTTTCTTTCACTGGAGAACTAACTGGCTGTTTGTAGGACAGTCAATCAGGCCCAATTATATTTTGCCGATGACTTTGGCCCAGGGAACTCCAGTGCCCCCACTTAATAATACCTTTGCTTCTATGCTGTCACAACATGGTACTTTTAACCCAGCAGTGAAGCATTTCATCTTCTGAATAGACCCATCTCCCAGTTGATGGGAGAAAATAAAGAGTCCTCTCCTGGTACCATATAGGAAGACATCGCCGTTTTATTCCTTTCCCACGGAGGAAATGGACTTGTTGATTTTACCAATTCACAGGTAGCCTACTCCCCCCATGGCTCCAAAGCTTACGTGCAACTGATTAATGCATGCACCCATTTCCCCCCCAAAAAAACCCCTCCAAATTTTATGCACCTCCCATTCCTGAATCGGCTGACGGGATGGGGCTTCCCCGGGTTTTTCCTATATGCTTCTGTTTGATTTGCCCTACGGTGCCTGGCTGCCCCTTTCCGTAGCCGTTCTGAACGTTGGTGCCAGACGAGGCGCTGTTGGCTTTGTGAGGTGAGGAAGGAGGGCTGTTGGCCTTGTTATTCGTATGTCCAGTGGCCTGCCGGTCTTTTAGCCTCTTCTTCAGATGTTCTTGCATTTTGAGAGTCCTCTCGTCTCGCTGGACAAAGTTTGCTCTGCTATGGGAACGGGACTCTATAGAGAGGCAAAGGCAAAAAGGACCCCGTTAGATGGAACACAACTGCAAAGCGTTGTGTTTAAAATGCCTTCAAGGCTTAGACCAGGGGTCCTCAAACGTGGCAACTTTAAAGACTTGTGGACTTCAAGTCCCAGAATTCCTCAGCCAGCCATGTCTGCTCCTTTTTCTTCTATCCCATCCAAAGAGGAGAGAGTGCAGAGGAAGGGATTACAAGAGAGTAAGCTATGCTGGCTGAGGAATTCTGGGAGTTGAAGTTCATAAGTCTTAAAGTTGCCAAGTTTGGAGACCTCTGGCTTAGATAGATATGGAATCAAAAATGTAAAATTTCCTGCGTATTTGTATACGTTGCAAAATGGGCCTGACGGTGCTAACAACCAGGCCCATTTTTGCAACATATACAAATAAGCACAAATCGAGTGTGTATATGTATGACTTTATATAAGAGAAAAAGAGTGTGAACGAGCACAAGAGTTAGGGTAAGGTATAAAATAGGATCCGATATGATTTTATTAAATAGTAATGCCATACAGGTAGCCCTCGTATTACAACAGTTCATTTAGTGACTGTTCAAAGTTACAGCAGCACTGAAAAAAGGGACTATGACCATTTCTCACACTTACGACCACTGCAGCTTCCCCATGGGTCATGTGATCAAAATTCAGACACTCAGCAAATGACTCTTTATCTATGATGGTTACAGAGTCCTGGTAAATGGGGAAGGCAGATTCACTTAACAATGGTGGCAAGAAAGGTCGTAAAATTGGGCAGAATACACTTTTACAACAGCCTCGCTTAGCGACAGACCTTTTGGGCTCAATTGTGGTCATACGTCAAGGGCTACCTGTATTACATAACCAGTACAGGTGGCTGCAGGCATGCTAGCACTGTAAACAGGGAACTTTTAACTTCCTTTTTCTTGATTTCCCTCTGCAAGCTTGTTTGGACTATGGGGGCAGCTTCCCCTGTAGAGGGAAACAAATCCATAACTGAAGCCTGCTTTTAGAGAAATCAGCATCCTGCAATTGAGAAAACTTTGTAAGCCAGCTAGTTGTCGTGGGGCGAGGGTTTTCTCCCAGCCGAACCCACCTCGAAGAGTAGCTGCTGTAGGGAAAACGGAAGAAGGAAGCATTATGAGGGGTCCTTGATGTTATCTGAGCTTGGCAGTTTTCCTGCAGAAGTTTCATGACCCAAACTAGGTAACACCATCAGAAGTCCTTACTAGCACTGATGATGTTACCCAGTTTGGGTAATGAAACGTCTGCAGGAAAACAACCAAGCTCAGAGAGCACCAAAGACCAGACAGTACCCCTCCTCTTCTTCTTCCTCTTCCTCCTCCTCCCAAACCCCACTCCCTTCTAGTACTATTATCTACAGTAGTTTGGTTATGAAATATCTGCAAGAAAACCACCAAGGACCCCTCATTTGAACCCTGAGCCACAAATACTCTCCTTTATAGGAAGCATTATCTATACCGTCTTGAGCTATACAAAGTGTAGGCAAGATAGATAAATGATCTTTACTACTTCAAGTGCTTGATTCTTCTTTTTTTTTTTTTTTGCTTCTTCTTCTCCCTTCCAAACGGCAGAGTTGCATTGAACCCAATTGCTCTAAATTTGCACTGGTGACAGAAAGTTTGTGAATCCTTTAAAAATAGCAATAGCAGTTAAGACTTATATAATGCTTTACATCCCTCTCTAAGCAGATTACGGAGTCAGCCTTTGGCACACAACAATCTGGGTCCTCATTTTATCCACCTCGGAAGGATGGAAGGCTGAGTCAACCTTGAGCCGGTCAGGATTGAACTGCTGGCAGTGAGAAGAATTAGACTGCAAAACTGCATTCTAACCACTTGCATCACTGCGGCTCACAATGGCTTTAGACCAGTATTTCTCAACCTTAGCAACTTTTAAGATATGCTGGCTGGAGAATGCTGCTACGGTTGAAAAACATTGTTCTAGGTCTCTCCATAAAAAACACGGCTTAATCAAACATTTTTTTTTTTATATAATTTTGAATGTAGCTACTGTGGAAAGTTCCTCTTCACAGCACTGCTTCAACTCGCTGAAGTTTCAAGGGTTCTTTTGCAAGAACTATTTGCTTCAGGTCACGCCAAAAACATTTCAATAGGTTAGGGGTTCAGTACCTCACAACTTCACCATTCCAAAATGGAACGTGTCTTCTGCTGCCTCTACAAAGGAGGCCTGCCCGTTTTCGGAACCACAATGCCGGGAGCAGGGAAAATAACATTTCCATTAAAAGGTTGGGTTCAGCCAGCATCTCAGATGACCTCTAACACATACAGTTTAACCATGTAAGAAGCTCGTGCTACAACATCTGTGGTATTATAGGACGGCACCTGAAGAAGATCCCAATAAATCAAGATCTACTTTCACACTTTCCAAATGTGTGAGGCCTCCAACTTCCAGATTTTACCAAGCTGGGAGTCAAAACTCCAATGCAAATAGAAGGTGCTTCAGGTAAGAGTTACTCAAGGAGCCCTGGTGGTGCAGTGGTTATTGCAGTCTAACGCTGCCCACAGCCGGGACTTTGACCCTGACAGGGCTCAAAGTTGACTCAGCTTTCCATCTTCTGAGGTCCATAAAATGAGAACCCAGATTTTGAGGGCTGTATGCTGATATAAACCACTCGCAATGTGCTATATAAAGTGCTACGGAGCAGCATGTAAGTCTAAATGCTATTGCCATTATTCCCATAAGTACATCAGAAACAAACTGCAGAAGGAGAGGAAGTTTCAGCATTGGTTCTGGAAATATCCAGGTATCAAACAGTCAAGGAAGCATCAAGCTCTGGCCCACCTAAGTGCAGGTGAGCTTGCTATAAGATTGCTTCCCCCCCCCCCCTTTCCAGCGAATGTCTTACCTTGATCTTGGTAAAGATGAGGCGATGGTGGTGGTGGATGCTGATGAATGAACTGCGGTGGGATTTCCCCCGTTCCTGGAACCGGTGGGTACACAGGATGAGGGGGGTGGGGAAGCAAAGCAGGGTGGGGGTGAATATAATGGGGCACATGTGGAGGCGGTGGGTGCATGGAGGGGTGAAATTCAGTCGAGTGTGGCATAACTATGACCTTCCGAACTCCATTCTCTTCAACCACCTGCAGTAGAAAGGGAAAAAAGAGCTATGTGCATTTTTTAAGGTAATATACAATTATATAATGAGAGCTGGTTTGGTGTAGTGGTTTAAGGCACCAGGCTAGAAAGCAAGAGGCTGTGAGTTCAAGTCTCCTCTTAGCCACAAAAGCCAGCTGGGGTGACTTTGGGCCAGTCCCTCTCAGCCCAACCCACCTCACAGGGTTGTTGTTGTGGTCGTGGGAAAAACAGGAGAAAAGTGTGTTGGATACATTCACCACCTTGAGTTATTTGTAAAATTAATCAAGGCAGGATACAAATAAATGAATTCATGCTTTGGGTTTTTCCACGTAACGTATTGTTTTAATTTGGGACTTTGGGTATCAAACATTAAATGTACAGGCAGAAAGATCATCCTAAACACAAACTCTGTTAATCATTCCTCAAATTAACATGTAGATGTAACAGAACCTAACCTAGCACCCAAGCAAGACGCAGGCAATCTTCTACTTTTTGCCATCTCTTAAATTTTAAATATTTAAGTCAGAAGAAAATGAAGCACAATTCAAAAAAAAAAAAATAACATGGATGGGAACTAAATGTACTTATTAGTTTTTGCTAACCTGGAACCCTTCAACTGAGCTGGGTTTGCAACTCCCTAGAATAGCCGATGCCATTAAAAATAAGGCTGCAGAAATCCGCTGTAAACGAATGCATTGTTGTGACTTTCTTTGTCAGCCACAGCTAACGCTTACTGACTACAAATTCTGGGAACTGCTGCCTGGCTTTGGGAAGGAAGAGATAAACTTTAGCAAAGACAAGATTAATTCAATTGTGTAGCAAGTACGTAAGCAAAGAGAAGGACGTGATGTGTTTAATGTGGTTTATTGTAAGACCTAAAGTGGAAATAAGGGATGAATTATACATTCAAAAGTAAGTGTACTGTTGGCATGTAACATAATACCAAAAAGGTTCTTAAACAATCGACTGAAAGTATTCTACTGGCCACCAGCAAAATCTAGGCAGCGGATGCCTGGGACAAACAATGTATTAATTGACCAAATATTTTATCCTTTGATAAATTATTCTGCTTGAAGCGTGTTTAATTTAGCCAGCCTGTTCTCATGTTTCCTAGTAAGCAAAACAGGATTTGGGAGAAGTTTGGCATCATTCAATATTCCAAGCAGGTATACAACCAATTCAAGGAAAGTCAGATTAAATGGAAAACCACTGTCTTCCGAAGAAGGGAAAAAAAACAATTATTGTTGGAAATAAGATTTGCAGACCTCATTACAACTTAAGCACACTTAATTTATGGCTACCCTATAACATTTAAAAACAAGACTTTCTTCCTCATCCATAATATGTATAAAGCAAAGCCATCCACAGTGAAAAGTATTTCTATAATATGCCGCAATGCAATCCTTGACAAGAATGGTTTTGCTATCATAATGCTTTAACCCAACCAAATAATTTTCTTTATTAATTATTGAGAAAGTAAAAGCAACAGAGTTTTCTTAGATTAATTCAGAATTAGAAGAACTGAACCTTAATAAAAACAGGGGCTGCTAACATAGCCATTATATTGTAGTCAATGCATTACAAACAGGGACCTGTGCGCTTCAGGCACTTATGCCTCGCAAATGACAATTGCAACCAACTAAAATAAATAAAAAATAAGGAGAATAGCAAACGTTCCATGAGATTTCAATAATCCCTCACCAAACTCCTAAAATTTTGACTTTCCAGGCCAAGATCTTGCAAGATTCTAGGATGAGATTATCCAAAATTGTATAATGTTATGAAATTTCAAATGGAATTGTTTGGCAGAAGGTATTGGAGCGATTTCATAAGATTTTTGGACAGTGTCTGAAGCCTGAAAAGTTTGCCAATTCCTAAACCAGAAGACTCAGATGCCTTCTTCTCCATCTACATAGTATTAGGTTTTAAAAGAGGCGGAGAGAGGACAGCAAAGTCTAATCTCATAGGAAAAAAAGCATATTAAATGTTTTTGAGAAAATGTTAAGATTTCTCCTCCGTTAAACTCAGTTTATTTCCCGCTTAATAAATCGCACATTGACTGTGGGATAAAGGATGAGCTTAGCAGCTTTGCAATCTCTCAGAATATCTAGCCAATTCTAAAACTTCTGCAGTTTCCAAACTAGGACAGGCTGATTGGCTATCATGAAAAGAAGGAAAAAAACAAAACCAAGATGAATCAGCAGAAGATAGATATGAACCACTTTTCAAGTTCCTGTTAGCTGATGCCTTGATCTGGTTAGAAAAAGGCAAAAGGAGAAAACGTTTTTCGTGGAGATTTTTTGTTTGTTTGTCTAAACCGTGAACACTGTGATTCTCATGAGCACGGAACGGCTGACACAGAAATTCAAGGCCTTCTCAAAGATTCCCCTTGAGATTCAAAAGGAGATGACAAGCAGGCTCCAGAATTGTTTGATTCAGCTCCACTGAAGTCCCACATGCAGAGAAGAATGCTTCTGAGTCATTCATGCCAATCAGAAGTTCCACCAAGACTACAATGTCCAAGAGCTAATGCCCTCCACAAGAGCGGCGGAAAGGTCACCGAAGAAGCAAAGAAATCTAAAGTAATCAGGCAATAGCTGTCTACAGCTCTTGCCAACCGCCAAGGAACAATTTGCGTAGAGTTATAGGAAAACCTGAACTTACAAAAGGCACGTAAGATGCTGAACATAAAAAGAAAGATAAATTCTCAGAGCAGAGATAGTCCACTCTTTGAAGCACCAAAGTGATTGCTATTCTTCCACTCCCCTCGCCACGAAGCCGTTTCTATTGGCCGATGGAAGCGGCTGGGGACTCTGCCTTTTGGGAGCTTCCATCGGCCGATAGAAACGGCTTCGTGGCGAGGGGAGTGCGTGGGGGGTGCTTGCCCCGAGGCCGTTTCTACCGGCCAATAGAAGCGGCTGGTGACCCTACCTTTGGGGAACTTCCAGTGGCAGCCTCATGGAGAGGAGAGCGCGCATGGGGCACTCTAGGTGGAGGTGTGCGTGGGGGAAGAAATTAAGTCACCCCCGAACAGACATCCTAGCCGTTTTTTCGGGGCTCAAAAAAAAAAAAGACCCGGCCTTATTTTACGAGAAACACGGTACTATTAAAGATGAATGCAGTATTTGGATGACTATCCTCAAACCGACTATAGGCTATTTTTGGCTCAAGTGCAAGGTTGTGATATAGCTGCAGATTTGAAGTTTTAAAATAATCACCTCTGTAAAAAAAAAATCAGTAATTTAGGCAACAGTGTCTGGAGTCTTCTGTCTCCAATGCTTTCAACCCTACAGGCTGCTGACTCAAAACTTTTTGAACCTCCTTGCTATAAATCAGGGGTGTCCAACCTTGGCAACTTTAAGACTTGTGGACTTCAACTTTGCTGGCTGAGGAATTCTGGGAGTTGAAGTCCACAAGTCTTAAAGTTGCCAAGGTTGGACACCCCTGCTATAAATCCTAGTTTTGCCTCGCCTATCAGGCTTTAGCCTGATTTTCGGGTTCATGGTCCACCATGAGCTTAATCTATAGCCTGTACAAGAGAACATCCTTAGTGATCGGGCTGTATGTCCATTTTAGGATTCTGGGAAATTATTAGAGCCTAAAAGTGACCAATGAGACGAGACCAGGAAAAAGAAGAGATATTCTGGGTTTTTTTAATCTCCACTCGTCACCCTTGTTACCTTTATGGATTATAAAGAGGGATAAATTCCCCATCGCTCACTTGGAAAATCCCCCGTTTATAAGTGTTCAAAGGATCTGAATGATTACCTGAGAGACATAACCAGGAGGCACAAATATTGGAGGAACAGAACCATTTGGTGACATCATAGGAACATGTGCTGGACCTGAAAGAAAACCAAGCAACACTGATTCATGACCTCCTGCAGAGTGCTAAAAACCAAGCACGTTCACCGTTTTATTTGACAAACATAATCGTCAAACAGGCCATCATGCATAGGCCCGTCCGTTTAGCTCTTCCATCAAACCATTTAGCAAAAAAAATGGGGAATGAGGTCAAATGCAGAGGGATACACGTTTTTCGCTGGGTATCTCAACACGTGCAACTTTTAAGATGGGCGGACTTCCACGCCGCAAAATTCCCCAGCCAACCTGGAAAAACTGTCCCATGCTGTTGAAAATCTCAGTGAAAGAGCCAAGTTGAGACAACTGGCCTTTTTTTTTTTTTTTTAAAAGACCTCTAAAAAAATGCTCAACAATCATAGAAAACAACTGACCAGGTCAACAAAGATCTTCATCTTGCGTGTTTTCTTTAAAGGCAAGTGTTTAATAAAGACCATGAGTTTGGCTCAAGAGGCATCTGTCACATTCAGACTGAGTTTTATTTAAACTGAACATCTCCAGAAGCAACACCAAGTAGGTAAGCTATACCTTGACTCTTGCTTGAAAACTTTTTTGGGGGAAAATCTTCTCTAGCCCCCCCTCTTCCTGCATTTTGGTGGCTCAACAGGTGCTAGTAGCTCACTAAGTTTAGGCACCAAAGAAACAAAGGGCCTGACTCCTTCTCATCTGATATATTCTACAACATCCATACTAGACAAAAAAGTAAGGATTTCTTTCATTGGGTGGTAGAGAAGACGTTTTATATAAAACCTGTTTTGCTCTCCAACCTTCGAAGAGTTACTAAATTCTAGGAATAGAATGATGCTCTTTGCTGGAGCAACTTTGACTTGAGATAAAAAGAAAAGCTCTATTTTTTCTGATGCTTCAACCCACAACCTGGGTAAGTTAGTAAAGGCTTCTTATAGCCTTCCCACTTTCTCTAACCTACCAGAAACTGTCCAAGAATGGGAATCCTGGAAAAATGTCCAGTAAAATATCCCTTTATGACATCAGACCGGATTAGTCTAGATCACAATCAGCTTAATAACGATTCAAAATGCAGAAGCTGAGTAAAGTTTTCATAAAATGACACTGTGATTTTGAGATCTTTTCCAAAAGCCTTAATCTTTCCTTGTGACCTATTATTTGATCTTTGACATTAGATTTAACTTCTTTGCCCTATAACTAGTCTTCTAGAGAAATGGCCAGCTCTTTACTGCGGTTATGATGATTGCAAAATCATTCTGTGTAGGAAGTGGACTTGACTCAACAACCTCCAACCTTCCTCAATCTGAGTGCCGTCTAAATTTATGGCCTTCAACTTCCAAAATTCTCAGAAATGGAATTCAGAGGAATTCTTGCTGTTGGGAGTCTGGATATCAGTAAGGTTGTTTTCTTGTTATGAACCTGCAGAACTATGATAAAGTCCTCTAGCCACATTAATTTAATAGGCATGCAGTATCTGATATCAGTAATTTCGGAGTATACCCTTGAGGCATTGTTTACCTTGAATACACTGGATATGACCATCTTCAGTTCTTATTGTGAACGTCTCTCCTGGGTTTACTTGCACAAGAATAACCTAGGAATAAGAATATTAAGTCCTATTTTGAACCTCATCTGAAAGCAACATATAACTTTGCAAAAGTAAACACATCAGATTAGAAACATCAGTGATAATAATCAGTACAAATCGAACGAAAGTCATATGTGGATTTTTTAACCTTTTAAATGGGCACACAGTACAAAATTGTACCAAATTTGAAAAATAAATCCAGCAAATTAAAGAGAATCCCTTGCTAAACTTACAACCGTTTTCACCAACTAACAACTAAACAAATAGTATTGCAGAAAGTTTCATTTCTCTTCGATCACTAAATCATATAAAACCAATTATACAGAAAAAAGGATATTTCCAACATTTGGCTGTTCCCCTCAAATGATAATTGAGATGTGTCCATTTTTTCTCATAAGTGGTTGCTCATTTTTTTTTTTGCTTTCTTTCTTCACTGATTTCCAAATAACTTAGTGGTTTTAATTAACATTTCATTGGAAATTACAGTTGGTCACTCTTTCTGCAGCCGGGGTTTCTCAAAGACTAAGTGACCAGAGAAATTGGAAAAAAGACTTGGGTTATACAACCCAAAGGGGTTGTTGTTGTTGTTTTTTGGAAGATGGGGTTTATACTTGTCTCCCAGATAGTATACAATATGCAACCATGTTTTACACTGGGGTGGGATAGGGGTGGTGGTGGTCCAACTTTGGCAAATTTAAGACTTATGGACTTCAACTCCCAGAATTCCCCGGTCACCAAGGCTGGCTGGGGAATTCTGGGAGTTGAAGTTCACAGGTCTTAAAGTTGTTACGGTTATTTTATACACTATATGATACGTCTTGTACCACAGAAGCCTCTTTTGCTAGAGAAAGACAAGTAGACAAGGAACATCCATGCAACTGTCGCTTTGGAGTTCCCTTAAAGGAAGAAGGAGAAAACAAACATAAATTAAAAAGCAGGCAATACTGTATGTTTATTATGATACATTTCTGCACTGTGATTCTTAAGACAACATTATGCTTTGCGGAGAGATAATTGGTAGCAGGATTTTATTGTTAATAGTATAGTGCAGGTAGTACGGGTAGTACCCATAATAGTACGGGTAGTATACAGCGCAATCCTCAAGTAGGCCAACACATCAATCTTTACATTTGTAAATAAAGCAGAACAGAGTTTTTAAAAACACGAAAAACAACTTAGCAAAACCACCAAAATGTTGATAAACATCAGTCTCTGTGTTTGTGTGTGTGTGTTAGTGTTAGAAATAAATGGGTATTGTGATTTCTAATTCGATTGAGAAATTCCTAGGATCTGGGACAAAAATTTCCCCAAAATATTCTCACGTATAAATGAGATCTAAGTGAAGTCAGTGCAATGATACCAACTTCAGTGATACTGACTTAGCAAAAACCAGATTACTTAACCGGGGAGAGTCTGAAAATACTGCAATTCCTGACAACTGCAGTTGAACAGGTCATAGCCAACATTGTATTTCTTCTGGAAACCTTCCGATACCTGAATAGAAATAACAATGGTCTGATTTGTATACCACCTCTTCTAGCCTTGTGCTGAAGGAGCAGAAAGTTGGCACCCTTCCTAAAAAATTTAAATGGTAATAGTTAGACCAGGGATCCCCAAACCTGGCAACTTTAAGACTTGTGGACTTCAACTTCCAGAAGTTTCCAGCCAGGTATGCTTGAAGTCCACAAGTCTTAATGTTGCCATGTTTGGAGACCTCTGCATTAAGACTGCATTTCTTAATCCATAATCAAAGTAACAAATCTAAAGACCAGGGAAGCATAATTTTATATACAATTTCTCAAGAACTTTCTTTGCTCGAATTCAGAAATTGCAGTACTGGCAGTCCTCAATTTAACAACAGTTCACTTAGTGATCATTCGAAGTTACAACGGCACTTAGGGTCATTTTTCACACTGATGGCCATTGGCAGCATCCGCACGGTCCTGTGATTTACATTCGGATGCTTAACAACTGGTTCACATTTATGACCATCGCAGTGTCCTGGGGTCATGTGATCCCCTTTTGCGACCTTCTGACAAGCCAAGTCAATTGGGGAAGCCAGATTCACTTAACAACTGGGTGATTTACTTCACAATGGCAGTGATTCACTTAACGAAGGCAAGAAAAGCTGTAAAATGGGGCAAACACAGCAAATGTTTCACTTAGCAATATAAATGATGGGCTCAACTGTGGCTGTAACTTGAGGATTATCTACTGTGTTTCTCCGAAAATAAGACCCTATCTTTTATATCTATCTATCTATCTATCTATCTATCTATCTATCTATCTATCTAGCCACAAAAAAGTTCTTATTTTCGGGGGATGTCACCCACTGACTAACCTCACTTGCATGCATCGCCCCCGGCCTCCTTTTCACTGACAGAGGCCTTCAGGAACTACTTCTGTGGCTGGCAAGGTTTCCCTGAAGGTCTCTGCAGGCGATAACTTTTGGGCTGCAGAAGAAATGGGCCAGCAAGGCAGGTGTCGGGGTGTGTGAGGCCTGGCTACAACTGTCCAAATGTACGTAGTAAGGCAGCTCCACCCCCCTATTCCCACCTTAGCTTAATTCTTACCCATGCACTTTGGAGTGGACGGGATCTTAATTAGGGTTTATTTGGGGGGGGGGGGTATATTGGATGCACATGTAAAAATCAAGCTAGGACTTACTTTCAGGGTAGGCTGTATTTTTTGGAAAACAGGTATATAAATCCCTCACTGCTTTCCCTCGGAAGGGGATACCCTTTAACATGCCTTATTAAAACCATTTAGGAAGGAGCTAAGAAGAGAACAGTTGTTAGGAATTTATGACATCCTTCTGAAATGGGAAGAGCCATAGATGAGTGATACATCATGCGCTTTGCAAACAGGAATGACAATTCTAGGTAGGACTGGAACAGATCCTTGGTTGAGCCCAATTTGACTGGGTTAGAAAGCTTCTTTTAAAATTCTTGTGATCTTAAAAATTCAAGCCAATTCTACTTTCCCCCACTCCCACCCCTTCTGGGGGTTTTAAACAAGACAGCAGGTTTCTAACTATAAACTAATTTGATTTTTATTCAGTGTTATTACAGCCCACTGAAGCAAATGTTTTCCTGCTATTCTGATCCAAATGTACCTCTGGTAGACAGCTTTCCTTAAAACCTTATATTTTTGCCACCAGCCTTTTGATAAGGAACCTTTTTTTTTTTTTTACTGACTAAAAATCCAAATGGATGCTTGGTTCTAGGCTTAATAATTTTGGTGTTATTTTACTTAGCTATGGTCACAGTTCTAAGTTTAAAATCAAAGTCTTTTAATTCAAGAAACATCATAAATTTAATAAGCTGTACACTCCCATTAAGTGAACAAAAGGACAAGTTGGTTTATAATATGTGGAACAGATAACATAAAGGGGGCATTAAATAATGGCTTAAAACCAGCGCAGCCAAGCCGTTTGCTTGTTATTGGGAACACTTTTTTTCCTCCTATACGAAATCAAATATGCCATTTTTTCAAAACTCCTAACCCGATTTCCCAAGGCTGAATTGGTTAAATATTTTAGATTGTAATACAAGGCTTTCTGAGACAAGTTATGGCTCCCTTCTGACCAAGGAAAGGTACATTTTTATCTCAACTCTTTTCATTAAAAGGTCATGTGCGTAATAGCTAGAACATGATATTCAGTGGCTGTATCTCTGCAGGTCAAAGGGAGATAATTTCTCATTAAACAACCTTCAGAAGCCTATATTTTATCTGCAGCCAGCCTAGCAAAAAGTTCTGGAGGGAAAAAAAAAATGCAAGAAAGATATGGAAACCTACCCGAAGACACTTAATCTTCATAACAAGTGTGGTATCTACAATGGTTTTGGGAAGAACCTTACACAGATGCTTCTTTTCACATTCATTTCCACAGGAGAAAATATATTGATTCTGCAAGTTTTGCTTTTAAATTGCCCTGTGTTTAGAAGTGTTTTGCAAGCTTTAAAAAGCTGGAGCCCACCCTCAAGCTTCAAAATAGATCAGAATAGACTTACAACAAGGTAAAAGTGATTATTAAATGAGATATCAGTTAATCTGAATTTCTACAGCTGTGTCTTAAGAACTGAACTTTTACAAGGTTACTGATAACTTGGCTCCTGGAAAATAAAACAAAACCTTCAAGGGCACCCTCAACCAGAAACAGAGACAAAACGTTAAAAAACATACTGGTCAATGTGGAGCCAACAGAGTGAAAACAAAGATTTCCTGACATTTTCAAGTGATAAGTCTGGTCGTGCAGTCCTTGAATTAAATCTAATAAAACTTCCAGAGCATCTAAAATGTTTGGGTCCTTCATAGATTTTCAGCTGCACTAGAATGCTTTGCTTAAAAAACTCTTGCATTTTTTGCAATATTTGTTTCAAACCAATTAATTAGCTGGGCAAGTAGCTCTGAGCGCTTTCCAAGCTAACTCTGAATGCACATAGAACTTTTTTGGTGCAATTTTTAATGCAAGTGCTGAATCATGCACCTGATTTACATAAATCAATACCCCTTTTTCTTTAAAGGGACCAATATATTTGACAACATGGATCCTACAGGAATTGACAATCACATAAACAAAATAGGAACTCTCAGTTCCACGCGACAATCTTTTTAAACAATTCTAGGAAGTTCAAATCTGCAACATGGCTTCAAAAATCTACTATTCAAGGAAAAATCCTCCGGACATCCTTAAAACAAGGCCTGGGATCTAAATTCTTGCATTAGATTACAAAGGAAGACTTAATTGAGGATCTTCATGTTATTACCTCTTACTGTAAATGCTATTATTAAAAATGATTCAACAGTTAAAAGAAGGAAATACATCAAAACTCCATTGCATAATGCAAATCATTGTAAGATTAAGAAGTAATATAAGTCTTTCCTAAAACAAAGAAAAGTAAAGAAAAATGATCTGCCAGCAAAGGCTATTTTAGAACATCACAACATGGATACTTTAGATTTGCATGTGTGGGAGATTCTGTATATATCTAGACAGAAATACCATTTTACAGCTGGCATACACAGTTTCATATATTTTCAGTTCCTTAAACACACACTCATAGTTTTAGAAAAATCACATGACAATATGATTCTTCCTGTCCTTAAGGCACTGAATTTATAAAATAGAATATTCTCCATTTTATGGCAATGGTTTAATTATAGTAAACTTCTACAGAATGACCATTTTCCCACTGGTTTTAAATTATGATTATATCTGACTGCCATCTAAGTTAATTTTTCAGAGTTAACAAACACACAGCGAAGGAATGAAACTGATACTGGTATACATGATGACAATGATCTTGGACCTTGGAACTTGTTATCCAATTTTAATAAAATCAATTATGTCCCGAAGACTGTTGAGCAATGGCTTGCTTAAACATCCTTTGCTAAATAAACCATGATCAGAGGAGCTTAACCATGTTAAGCCATTATCTACACCCGAAACTGACGGAGAAGATATGATCCCTTCTAAGCATTTGCAGAAGAGAACATTCTGAGGATTCCCGTCTTATGCGGATCAACTTACCTGTTGTGTGGTGTCTCCATTGACCATATGAGGTAGAAGTGGCACTTCATTCAAAATAGGTGTGGCTTCTAATGGAGGTGGCTGGTCTGCCATCATAAGCGAAAGGACCGTTCATCAATGGTCTCTCTCTGATCAGCTGCTACCTGGTAAAACAGGAAAGCGGTTTCAGGTGTCAACAAGCTCTTATTATGATATGGAATGAATTATCTCTGGGGCTTTGGGCTCTGAAAAAAAATCATCCACCTACTCAGAAAAATCCCATAACAAAAGGCCAGGTATTAGTAACAGAAAAGGACTGGCATTTTACCTGCAACATCCAGCATAGAAGAAGAGTCAGCAACTTGCTTGGGTATTAAAGATACTGCTGCTTAGCTTCCCCACCAACTTTAAACGCAGCATCTTCGCTGATTCTTTCCAGAGTTTATGCAGAAAACTCACTCAAATTACACCGGTATCTCTCTATTATGACAGGTAATTTTGTCAATAGTGAAATAAAAAGGAGGTGATTTTCCAAGGGCTTCATTAAAAAGCGTGCCTTGTCAGTTCCTAAGACTCTTCTTTCAATAAAACCTGTTTCAACCCTCCACCACCAGCACATTGAAAAGAAAAGAAAGAAGAAAAAAAAAAACAGCACAAATCAAAGAAAGTCCTCTGGGAGCTAACCAAGCATTCAAATTACTGGTTTAAAAATATAAGCGGCTGTGAAAAACATGCCTGAAACATTTGAGATACAGGTGGCAGTTTGGAGGACTGGAAGGAGAAGTCAGGTGGTGTGTGGTCTCTATTTCCAAATTTGAGGTTTCTAGCACATTATATGGCACTCTTGCATGAAGAAGGCTTTTCTAAAAAGCAAATGATTTGTTGGACACACAAGAGGAAAACATCGGTTGCTGCATTAGTTATCTAGATTGATAGCACCGTTTCTCTACCAGCCTCTGGAGATATTACACAAGCTCTATACAGTCTTCACCATAAGAGAGAAAGGAAGACGTGAATTGCAAAGGCTGGGAGCAGATAAGCAACTTACAAGTGGCCCGTTCCCATAAGAACTTAATGAGATTTTTAAAAATACCACATCAAGGTTTCCAACAACCATTCCAGGGCAAAATTTGACATAAAGAGATTTCCACTGCTTCAAAAAACATTATTATGTTTGGACCTCGCATCCAAAGACTGAGAATGCAGTCAGTCTGTTGCAAGCCTCATCTAAGCCACAGGCAGATCTGTGTGTGAGGTCCTTAGTGCTCTCTGAGCTTGGTTGTTTTCTTGTAGACATTTAACAACCCAACTAGGTAACAACATCAGGGTTGGTCTGTGTGTGTGTGTGTGTGTGTGTGTGTGTGTGTGTGTGTGTATTATATGACATCTTTTCCAGAAAAGACTCCGGACAGCTATCAGTGCCAAAATAAAACACCAAGGCAAAAACTCAAGTGCATGTAGAGATGATTTTTCTTTGTTGAAAAACTGAAAAAATATGTATCATGCACCTACATAATCACCTTCACACTCTCCCACTGGTTGAAGCAGAACAGTTAAGTCTTTGAATGCTTCAGAGTTGGTCAGACTGTTATTTTGGGGTTGAAGAGGCAAAAAGTGAGGGCAGCTACTGAAAACTGACCCCTAGCCATAGGTACCATCCGCCCTTCAAGTAGGAATCTAGTATAAGAGAACCCGAAAATACAGACCCGGGTGAGATAGTCTAACTCTACTCAAAGGAAAAAAAATGGCATTTCCCTAGAATCATCAGAGCCACAAAACCCTTTCTGTCTTAGATGGTCTCGGTTACAGTCTGTCCCTCCCCATTCTGACCGGATATACTCCAGGCACTGGATCAATGCTTTCATTACCTCACCTATTTTGCCATAGATTGAGATGTATAGCCATAGTGGCGCAGTGGTTAGAGTGCAGTACTGCAGGCTACGTCTGCTGATTGCCGGCTGCCAGCAATTTGGCAGTTTGAATCTCACCAGGCTCAAGGTTGACTCAGCCTTCCACCTTTCTGAGGCTGGTAAAATGAGGAGCCAGATTGTTGGAGGCAATAGACTGACTCTATACACTGCTTAAAGAGGGCTGGAAAAGCACTGTGAAGCAGTAGATAAGTATAAATGCTATTGCCCTTCCTTCCTTCCTTCCTTCCTTCCTTCCTTCCTTCCTTCCTTCCTTCCTTCCCTCCCTCCCTCCCGCCCTCCCTCCCAGTGGTTAGAATGCAGTGTTGCTCAAGGTTGACTCAACCTTCCATCCTTCTGAGGTCTATAAAATGAGGACCCAGATTGTTGAGAGCAAAAGACTGACTCTGTAAACTGCTTAGAGAGGGCTGTAAAAGCACTATAAATGGTATATAAGTCTAAGTGCTGTTGCTATAGTTGGATATAATAAACTTTTTGATGATACTGAACTACTTCATCTGCCCTCTCCCACTATCACTCATTGGAACTGTTCCTTCAGGCAGGTGGAGAACATTGCAAGATGCTGGCCCCTATTCCAAAGCCTTGAAGATGGCCCATAGTCCAGCGGTTGGCCCATAGTCCAGTGGTTCAACCTTTTCTTCACAACGGAGCCCCTTTAAATATCTTTTGTGGCCAAGGACCACCGAGACTTAACTTGAGATGTAAATCACAACATTTTTTCAAGCCTTTGTGAACCCTCTAACTCCAAGGGTCTACGGCCCACAGGTTCAGAACCACTGCCATAGTCAATGACCCTGAAAGCTATTGAGAAATCAAGGATAACCAAGAACAGATGCCCCTGGCCCAATCTCTGCACAGGTCACATCAAGATATGGCCAAGGTAGTTCCTGGGTAATACCCCATCCTGAAACTTGACTGCTAGAAATCAAAAAAAAAAAAGTGTTTAAACAGTGTAGTGTCTCTAAGCACAAGCAAAATACTTCCCCATTTACCACGGGGATCAGTCTGATCCACTAATTGTGCAATGTTGTTCCCTATAAATTTCATCTCTTTCTAATATTTGACTGTGCAAGTCCCACAGAAAACCTGTTTTCCAAACAGGTTTAAAGCTTTTCTGAAAAGTGTAATTCTGGAATCTTTCTTTCTCACTTAAGAGACCTACTCAAGATCTTCGCTGCAGAAGGATCAATTCCACAATAGGGTTTTTTTTTTTTAACTATTTAATCATCCTCTTGTAGCTTGTAGAGAAGCCCCACAGCCTATAACCAAAATTTGATGCAGAAAGTGGAACTGAGAATGAGAGAAAGAAAGATGCAAAGCAGGAGGAATAAAGGAAGCAACTCTGCAGGGAACTTCAAGGAATTTCTGAAATCACTCCACCTGCTCTACCTTTCTCTATAAAGGAACTGGTTCTTGCTCTTAACTTCTAAAAAACCAACTAGCAATCAGATTGCAACTGCAGGAACCAATTGGTTCCAAGAGAAAGGAAAGACTTTTCCAGATAAACAGAAACTAAAATGCAGATCAGCTTCACCAAAAGTGTGAAAATGCTGTGGCCCGATTATTCCCTTTAGCCTATCAGGAAGTAGGTAACAAATTAACAGAGTTGAAAGGGACCTTGTAGGTCATCTAGGCCACCACCACCTGCTCAAATCCTATATAGTTATTTCCCAACAAAATATAAACTGGGGGTGAGGGAAGAAAATCTTTACAGATGCCATTTAGAACAAAAACAAAAACCCATTTCCTCCTAAATAGAGATAGTCCTCAACTCACAAGAGTTTATTTAGTGACCATTCGAAGTTACAACACCACTGCAAAAAGTGACTTATGACCATTTTTCACACTTAAGACCACTGCACTATCCCCAGGGTATCAAAATTCAGATGCTTGGCAACTAACTCGTATTCATGACGGGTTGCCGTGTCCCGTGGTCAGGTGACCCCATGTTTTGTGACCGTCTGACAAGCAAAGCCAGTGGGAGAAGCCAGATTCATTTAAGAATCCTGTTACTAACTTAAACAAAGTGCAGTGATTCACTTAACAACACTGTCCCCCAAAAGGTGGCAAAATTCACTTAACAAAATGTTTCGCTTAGCAACCAAAATTTGGGGCTCAATTGTGGTTGTAAGTTGAGGACTACCTGTATAATTCATGCCTGTCTGGCAACTTAATTTTGTTGCAGTAAAGCACCCTAATTCCTGAGAATTCTTGGCAAGATCTCCTATTTTGTCCTATCAGAGACACTGGCAAGTGAGTTTGATTGAAACTGGTAATACCAGCTTTCAATTATAGAACTTTTGAAAGAACCAGGTGCCAGGTGTGCAAAAACAATCCCAGGCATTATGCAAAGGCTAAATGTGACCCTTGTTCCCAGAATGCAACGCTTCTCATAAACTTCAACAACTGGCCTGTTTAAGATACAGCCATCTTCAATCATGGCTTATTGAACTGCAAAATGAATGCTCTGACGGCCATAATGTAAAATGTCTGGCAATTAATTGCTTCTTATTAAGTCCACACCAACAAGCTTTGAGTCTGAGCTCTGATTCTATAGCAGTATATGACCCCAAGAATATTTCCAGGGAAAAAAAAGGGGTGTATGTGGAAAGAGAGGAATTTAAAGTGGGTAAGAAAGCAGATGAAAGGTAATAAGCTGCCTAGAATTGCCTCTAAATGAGATGGGTGGAAAATAAACAAACAAACAAACAAACAACTTGGAGTCATGTGCCTCAATACAGAAGATTATTTAGGATTCTTTTGTTTATTAATAATTGCAATAAACCCTGGCTCAGAGATAAGACACCCTGTGGCTCACAAAATAAAAATATACAAATAAAATGTAAAACATAATAAACAAGGGACAAATAAAATCCCAAACACAGTGTAAGGAATTAGTCTTCAGAAAAGCCATTGGACATCACTAGAGACAGATACATTTCCAACATCTCTTGTCAATGAAAAACAATATTTATGCCATTTCTATATATGATCTCATCAAATCTGGGAAGTAAACCTTCATTTGTGTATTTTATGAGGCATGGCTATTTCTTCTTTCTTTCTTAACGGTACTTAATATTTTACAAAGGGTTTCTAATATTAATACTTCATATATTGTATTTGTTGACTGATCTTGAACGGACATTGAAGTTTACCAAATATTTACCAGTTTAGTAAGCACTGCTCCATTATTAAATAATTGACACTTGGGCTGTAACTAAAGCCTATT